GAAATTCTCTTTCCTATCCACAGTCCCTTGACCGTGGCTGAGCCGACCACAAGTGGCCACCTGACCCATGATAATCCAATAAGTTTTTTCTTTCCATGAAGAATTTAGAATGGGGATTTAGAAGCAGACAGTAGGTTTTTGTGACTACTAGAACCAAGGATATGTAAATTTAGAAGCTGTGGAGAAGAGAAGAAGAGAGAGCTGGTCTGCAGAGATAGGGAAGAATGAAAACACATTGAGGGAGATAAGTGCAGAAGAGAAATACAAAAAGTTGTTTTGGCTTTCTAGCCACTGGTTCGGGACCATTCCAGAGGCCCAGCTGCATTCTCATCCTTAAGTTTCCATGAGACAACCTTGTGTCCTGAGCGTGTCATCCTTTTTAGCTTAAGCTAGATGGAGTTGGTTCATTTAACTTGTAACCAAAGAATTTATTCTAAATGCATACCTCTGCCAATAGAAATGACTCTGTCCCCTAGCCCCTTGTACTCATCATTACAAATCTATGCAAAGAAAGTACCTGAGTAATCCTAAAATTCTACCTGATTTAGGCTCAGCCTGTAGAAAACTTCCTCCCCACCCTACAAGTATCCCCAAGCCAGATCTAACACTGCCTACCTATCACAGCTACTGCTCCCAAACATGTGCACCACTCACCCATGCTCTGGTAGCTAGCTTACCAGATGTCTGAGTTGGACCCTAAGCTAGCTGAAAAGTGTGAAAGAAGAATTGTGCTTCCAGACTCCAAGGTCCCTGGAAAATTGGCCCTGGGCTTGAGGAGAACAAAGAGGAAGGGGACCTGAAAACCTCCTGCAGTTGGGAAGAAATGTGTGCTTCATCCGGATAATAAATCGTTAGCCATAGAGAATGGGATAAAGCTAAGGACTCAAAAGTGTAATTCTTTCTTGAAAGCCTGGCTTAGGGGATATAAAGTAGTATTACTAGTTTAGTGAGGAAGATCTAAAGCTTACAAGTCATATGGTTTTGTAACTGAGATTTTTTTAACACAGGAATGTCTGCCTTGATCCTTGGCTGTCCCAGATTCATTAGTTGATAAACGATTTATTTTTCTTAAAATGAATCAGTCTCACAGATATTGAGTTCATATGCCTACTTCTCAGCCGAGATGTTAAGAACCTAGAAGAAAATTGGATTACTTTCTACTCAATAGTCAATCAGATAATATTAAAATACCATAGGTCTAAGTAAGCATTTGAATTGTCTTTGAGGCTCACTCTTGTGTACATACATCTCAATCTGTGATTAGGTGAAGAAAATTCTTTGAGTGAAATGGAGCTCCCAGAAAATGATTCTGGGTAAGTAAATAGAGTCAAATCATTCTAAACTTTTCTGTGTCTCTTGTAAACGTCTGTTTGTTTTTCATGATTTATCTGTAAATAGAACCATAAATTCACTGTTGAGTACTGAAAATGAGTATGCATTCAGATGGGGTGGTAGTTATTGTAGAGGGAGTTCCATACAGTTCTTACAAGTCTTCCAGATTTCCTCTTTGGGCTATACCTAGACCAGATTTTACAAAGTTCAGGTACTGGATTTATATTGCAAACAAGTGCTATATATATTCTGTTTCTAGTAGCAAAAAACCTGGACATTACCCGAATGTCCATTAATAGAGGAAAAGTTTAATAAATTATGACCTGGCCATTATATGGAATTTACACAAGAATTAAAAAGAATGATTTAGAGCTGGCCTGAAGAAATCTCCATGTTATTTTAAGTGAAGAAGAAGAAGAGGAGGAGGAGAAGGAGGAGGAAGAATAAGAAACTTCAAGGTAATGAGCATGGTATTGCATTAGCTTGGTTTTGTTTAAAACATAAAACAATTTAACCTAAATATGTGTGTGTATATATTTATGTTTGCATAGAGAAAAATGTGGAAAAACACACATGAAGTTATTAACATTGGATACCATGTGAAGGAGAATTGAAATAAGCTAGTGGAAAGATTAATAATTTTTCTTTATATGCCTCTATATCATTTGATTTATTGAAAAGAACATGAATTACTTTTATAATAAAAATGCAATATCACATAAAATTAAATAAAGTTTGTCAGTGAAAGCAAAGCTTAAAAAACGGGAGCTGCTTAATCAATCTTCACATATGCTCATGCATTAGTTGTCAATGATTTTTCTACCTCTGCTCTAAGACCAGCCATTAGCTGAATGGTTGTCTGAATTGCTCATGTTGTCTTTGTGGATTGATAATCTCCAAGTCACACGATAAGTGCATAACCTAACAAATTGTTAGGCTTTATGCTTTCACTATCCAATCTCCCTCATTTCTTCTGCAAACTAGGTTTCATATTATGGAAGTAAATCTACCAGTGTCCAACTCACAAGAACTTAAACTCAGAGACAAGCTCATAGAATTTTTCTAGGGCAGAATTAGACTTTTGAGATTTCATGTTTCAGCAGCATTTCCCTATGGATCAACTCCAGGAGAAAATCAGAACCAACAAATATTTTACCTAACTGGTTATGACAATAACAAGTCCCTGGGTGGCACAAACAGTTAAGCACTCAGCTATTAACCTTCTTAAGCACTCAGCTACTAACCAAAAAGGTTAGCGGTTCAAATCCACCCAGAGGCACCTCAGAAGAAAGGCCTGGTGATCTACTTCTGAAAAATCAGCCATTGAAAACCCTATGGAGCACAGTTCTACTCTGATACACATGAGGTCGCTATGAGTTGGAATCAACTCCAGGGCAACTGTTTTTGGTATAACAATAATGTTTCTATATACCACTCTTAAGCACAACTTCAGGGAGAATAGCACCATGTTCATTTACCAAGGCCCCCTTCCTAATTAAACTAGGAGTGTGTGTGCAAGCACACAGCTTGCAAAATCAGAAGTGATTTAGCTTGCAAAATCAGAAGTGATTTAGCTTGCAAAATCAGGTCATGTGCCCTGCTAGCCAACAGCCAAGCTTAAACTGGGAAAATAATGGGATCAGCTTCTTTTACAAGAAGAGGAAGCACATGAAAAGATAAAAGAACGAGAGTCAAGGGGTGGCCAATTCGCCATTTCTGGGGAAACTTCTAGGGTTCTCAAGCCTTAGGAAGTATACTTGTTGTTTTTCTTTCTCTCATTTTTTTTTTTTTTTTTTAGTGTATTTCTTAATGCTTTGGTGGTTTTAAAAATCTAGATGTAAAACTCGAATTGCATTAGTATTTGATCAATCATACTTATGCTTTAGATTTGGGTTTTAAAGTTATAAAACATAAAATGCACTAACATGAGATCCTGGGACTCAGGAGCCTAAATAAAAGCCAACAGCCAAGGCTCTATAGGCAGTCATTAGGAAACCTCATCCTTTCAGACTAGATCAACTGCATTTCTTCTGAAGAGTAAATCCTGCTATCTGTATATGAGCCACATATCAAGTAGGCTGGCTCTTATGAGAAATGCAACTTGGCTTGACCCTACTTAGCTGTGGGACACTAGGCAAGTCTGTGGATCTTCTGGCGCTTCTCTTTCACTCATCTGCCAAAAGAAGTTGTTGGAGGTGGTATCTTTTTCTCTCCAGTTGATGCACTTAGACTCACATGGGATTTACTCATTTGAACATACATACACTTAGTGACTTCAAGTTCTTTGGTCCCTGACTTTCAGATCGCTGATTATTGAGGTGGAACAGCTGTAAACAAATTGGTCACTTGACGACTTAAAGAACTGACTAGTATTCATGATAGAATTAGGTAAGGAGTTATTAAACTGACTTCACTTCTTTTCCTCCAGAGGTGAGCAAAAAAGTAGAGGAATAAATAAAACATTTTTATTGTCAAGTCTAAGCTGGTTCATTTCACCATCCCTCATTCATTTTTTAATCAGTAGAAAAGGGGCTTTGAGCCTAACAGCTAAACATCTGAAAAAAGGGGTGAGGAAACTAAGAAAAGGGTATTATTAATAATAACAATTACTATTAAGCACTATGGTGTGCCAGACACTATGCTAAAAAACTTTTCAAGACTGTCTCACTAATTCCTCCCCACAAATCTCTAAGGTCTGAACTATAATTACTCCCATTTTATAGATGAGGAAATACAGACTGAAAAACTGAGAGAAGGAATGAATGGCTTACCCAAGGTTCCCCAGTTAGTAAGTTACAGGGCTGTACTAGTTTCTTTCTTTCTATAAGAAGAGTCACTATACATCCCAGTTTGCCTGGGACAGTCCCAATTTACATTTTGTATCCTGAAGTAATTATTAATTGTGCCACCTTTCCATCTAAAAAGTAGACTGGACAACAAATTATATGGTCACTTTATCTCAAGGTTTCTCAATCTCAGCACTATTGGCATTTGGGTTGAAAAAGTCTTTGTTGTGGGAGGCTGCCCTGTGCATTATAGGGTGTTTAGCAGCATCTCTGGCCTCTACCCACTAGAAGCCAGTAGCACCCACTGCCCCCCCAAACCTAGTGATGACAAACAAAAATGTCCCCAGATGTTGCCAAATGTGTTCTGGGGGTGCCCTTGGTTGAGAACCATTGCATCTAAAGCCTATGCTTATAAAAATTTAACTACAGAAGGAGAATATAATCTATTTGTTACCAAACATGTACTATGAGCTGGTACAGTGGCTAGGCGATATACCCTGTACAGTGGCTAGGATATACCCTGTACTCAATAAAAGTTAATTTTGGGTGGCATTATTTGGATTCTCAATTGTAGAGAGGTACAAGGGCTAAACAAATAATGGACAAGATGACTGGGGGAGCTCTAGTGATAAAAATTGGTTTGTTGCAATTCTTTATAGAGAAGACTGAGATAGTGTACCGGGAACAGTGACCTAGCAACCTCCTGGCTGCACATTCTAGTAGTACTATGGAATTTGATTCTTGATTCCATCGGGTGTTTGCCTTAGTGATGAATATAAAGGCCAGGGTGACAGCTGAGTGATACAGTAAGTTTCATACTGCAGCAACCTTCTTCAAGAATAATAGATAATGATGATCAATGTTCTCTATTCTCCTACACTTGTACTTAGAAATGACCACCATTTCTTTCATATCACCATTTTCCATTTATTAGCAATAACAGAGGAAATACCAATAGCACCAATTAAAAATGAATCCAAATGAGATGTTTTATCCTTACAGCTGTAATAACTAGTAACTAACATGGATTGGAAAGCACTTTGCAAAAGTAAAAAGTGCCGTACAGATACATTATAATTATCATCAGTAATAAATTAGCCCGATTCTCCTAGTATTCAAAAGGCACGTAAGGTCAGATACATAGGCTTCAGTGGGGCAAAATGATCACAGCCTACAATGTAGCAATGGTTCACATGTGTTGGCAACAAATTTTACCCCATGCAATCCTGTAGAGCTGAAGTTACACACCCTTCCAAATATGGGAGAATGAAGCTAAAAGTAGACAAAACAGCTTTTTTGAAATTTAATGCTTTTTTGTAACAACTCCTACCTCTTTTATACTAACTTTTAAATAGATAATATAATTAATCAAACTTCTAAATTTTACATTTTAACAAAATTGAAATTTCTTATTTAAGGTGACTGCAAATTCTATTACTCTCTCTGAGCTGATATTCCAGACATCATTAGAATTTCAAAGCATTCTGCGATTTCAAAGAGGTCAGATTGGTAAATTTTGTGCTTGCATACCCTCATAGGATATCTTCAATATTTATTCCAGAACTGTTACTAGAAAAAAACAGCTTTATCCATTCCCTTGCCAGCAGGAGTCCTGGCAAAAGATGGCTCTTGGCTGACCATAAAAAAAAATTCCTTGAATCACCAGCATCTTGATTTAAGAAAGAAATTTTACTGTGTCTTTCATACACAAAAGCTGATTAACAATGGTTAAAAAAAACACTATTCCACTTTTTCACAGGTGTACAAAAGAAAATATAATGGCATTACATTCAACAATAAAGCTTAAAGTTCACTCTAGGTAATAAGTGCATTAACATTCACATACACAAGCACAGAGTAAGCATATTTCAGAAGTCTTATAATAGCATACAGCATACATATGGGAGATTGAGTTCAGGTAACATCATAGGTGTTAGTAAGAGTAGCAATTCAAAGCGTTAGAGAAAAGGAAAACTAAACCAAAGAGAAGGTGTAGGCTAGCACACCAAGACAGGTCACAGAATTAGAGGACTGAAAAGTCTGCTCACTGTATGTATGAGAAAACAGTATTTTTCTTCAATTTCTGGGTCTTGATACAGTTGGTTGGAGAAGGTTGTGTATTCAAAGCGCACATGATTGTTTTTTACAAAAGAGAGAGACAGAGATCTTTTTATTTAGTAATTAATACATGCAAGAGGCAACCCCAGAGTGACCTGAAAGAGTAAAGCTGTGACTGGCAGGTGGCTGGTATAATACAGATGTTTCAGGCAATTCTCTTAAAGCACTTCTGTAGCAGCAATGATCATTTAAATGGCTGTAGGCTGAATTCTCTTTTGAGGGGAGTTTAGGGGAATTGTATTCATCATACTTCTCTTTAAAGATTTATAGCTATAGATTTTCTCTTTTTAAAATAAATCTATCAAACAACAAACAGCATAAAGTGAGGTGTCGGGGTTTTCTTTTTTCTTTTGCATTTGCATATGTGTTGTTGGAAAAGGATCTGGCCTTTTCATAAACATTGTGTGCAAAGTAATTTTTAATAAAGTGAGCATAAGGACATATACAGGAAACACATCAGATCTGTTTCTGTTCCCCTGGTGGGCCCTCTGTTAAACACTGAAATATTGGCTTATAGATATAACACAGGGTTCAGGATGATACCACAGCCAACAGACTTTAGGCACTCCTAAAGCCTTGTCAGTGGCGGCAGTTTTGTTTGCTAGAAAGCGGCCGCCACCTTTTGAATTTTAAGATTTAGAAAGTCTGGTCCCTTTTAATTTCACACTTCCCCTTCAGACTGGTAACTCCCACTGATTATCTGCCTTTGTTTCCCAGCCCTTCTTGCACCAATTAGTCTAATCTGACCCATCCCAGCTGATTGATACGCTCATAACCCCGGTGGCCACACATACCCAGTGGCCACAAACACCCAAGCTGCTCAATCTGAAAACCTTTCAGCCTGCCCTGCAAGTGTCATCAAGACAGGATCCCCGGAGCACAGGGCAGAGAGTCCAACCTCTCACTGGCAGGGCTGGGAAGCCTCTCCTTTGCGGCGGAGGAGAAAGGAAACTTGGGTCTGCTTTTTAGGTTCTGCAAACAAGCCAGAGTGGAGAGAAAAGAGTTAACACCAGACTTAGTAAAGCTTTCAAGACAAAACCTGTTAAATGTGATCTAGACAGACACAGGGAACTTTCTGCAGATTTCTGAGGTCTACAAGAGAGGGCTCATGTGGATAGGAGAAAGGAGTAGGGAGATGCTACATGGGAGAGATTTGCCATTATTACAAAAACTGGCTAAGTGGCTTGTTTCCATTAGATGACCTCACTGGTCACTGTTGTCAGTCGTGCTGTTCCCTTTCTCTTTTTTCTCTTGGGTCTTGCTACCCTTCTTCTTTTTCTTCTTTTTCTTGGTCTCCTCTTTTTTGCCAAAGGTTATGAAGTCACTTTTGTCAATTTGGCTGTTAGTAGGCTCCTGTCGGATGGAGATGATTGCAGGAGATCCTGGGATAATGAATTTGTCTGGCAACTCACCAGGGCCAGATTGCTTGGGGTTGCCGGGTCCATATTTAAAGGTCCAGCTGTTGCTGTTGACACCAGCCCCCACTGGAGGGGACACCTCTCCTGCCTCTGGTTCTGAAAAAGAAAACATCACAAGTCAGTAACAGAGTAACACATGTCCTCTATGCCACACTCCTGGGTAGAGTAAAGGAGAAGCTCACAGAGAGGCCTGGCCCCCAAGAAATCATGGGTTATTTCTACAAGCTGGAGGGCAAAGCCAGAGTTTGGCAACAAGCAGCAGGGCAGATTTTCTTACCAGAGGGTCAAGTAATCTAGTTTTCTAGTATCATATTTTTTGGCTATTTGTGAAGAATTTTCTAAAGAATACTGTTGTGATTATCTTGCCTAGGAATTGGATGGGAAATGTCATACAGGAGTAAAGCAGAATACAGTACTTTCAGGGTATGAATTAAAGAAAACTTTGGCCACAAATATATTTTGACTCCTACCCTGTCCAAAACAGAAGAGAAACTGGTTAAATCAACTATTTGATCCTAATTCTATTGTAATAACCTTGAGGGGTGGTGGGATGCAACAGAGAGGAGCTGGTTTTATTTAGAATGGGAAGAGGTAGAGGGATAGAGGGATGCTACACATTGCCATCAAGTCTATTCTGACTTATAGCGACCCTATAGGACAGAGAAGGACTGCCTCATAGGGTTTCCAGGAGGACCCCTGGTGACGCAATGGTCAAGAGCTCGGCAAAAAGGTCAGCAGTTCAAATCTACCAGCCGCTCCTTGGAAACCCTATGGGGCATTTCTACCCTCTCCTATAGAATCGCTGTGAACTGGAGCCCTGGTGGTGCAGTGGTTAAGGGCTTAGCTGCTAATCAAAAGGTCGGCAGTTTGAGTCTACCAGTCGCTCCCTGGAAACCCTGTAAGGCAATTCTACCCTGTCCTGTAGGGTCGCTATGAGTCAGAATCGACTCAACAGCAACTACACAGAATAAGAGCACGGAATCTTGTAAGTTGAGCCTGCTTACAACATCTATTTATTTGGAGAAAGCACTGGGAGCCAACCATTCTTTCCAGACAGAGACTCCTCCCACAATGTGCTCACAGTCTAGTAGGACCCAGACTCAAACAATTATAAACCAATTTAGTGAATGCAATAACCAAGACACATGCAAAGTACTGTGGGGCTCCAGAGGAGAAAATTACCTACACTTGAGAAAGTTAAGGGGGATTCCAGGGGGGAAGTGAAACTTGCACTGAGTCTAAGAAAATTATCATGCATCCATAGGGGTTTTCAGTGCAAGACTTTCCCAAGAGTCTAATTGGAAGACACAGTATAAAGTACACCTATGATTTCTAGAAGAACAAAAGTCAGCACTAAAGAGGAATAGTAACACATTTTAGGTCACAAAGCAAGTCTTGATAAATTTTAAAAGCTTGAAATCATATAAAGTATTTTCTCTGACCACAATGGAGTAAAGCTAGAAATCAACAAAAGAAAAAAACCTATAAAATACACAAACATATGGAAATTAAACAACACACTATTAAGCTACCAATGGGTCAAGGAAGAAATCAAAAGAGAACTCACAAATTTCTCAGAGTCAAATGAAAGTGAAAGCACAACCTACCAAAACTTATGGGATGCAGCGAAGGCAGTACTCAGAGAAACATCAATAAATTCCTACATAAAAAAAGAAGAAAGATCTCAAATTAACCACCTAATCTGACAACTCCAGGAACTATAAATTTAGAGAAGAGCAAACTAAGCTTAAACCTACCAGAAGAAAGGAAATAACAAAAGATCAGAGCAGAAATAAATAAAATCAAAAACAGAAAAACAACAGAGAGAATCAATAAAACCAGAAGTTGGTTCTTTGAAAAGATCAATAAAATTGACAAACCTTTAGCCAGACTGACAAAGAAAAGATGCAAATAACAAAAATAAAAAATGAAAGAGGGGACATTACAACTGACTCAATAGAAACAGAAATAAAGAGAATTATGACAGAATATCATGAACAACTGTATGGCACTGGATAACCTAGATGAAACGGACAAATTCTTAGGAGCACACAACCTACTCAAACTAACTCAAGAGGAAGTAGAAAATTTCAACAGACTCATAACAAGTGAAGAGATCAAATCAGTGATCAAAAACCTCTCAACAAAAAAAAAAAGTCCTGGACAAGATGGCTTCACTGGGAAATTCTGCCAAACATTTAGAGAAGAATTGACACCAATACTGTTTAAACTCTTCCAAAAGATAGAGAAGGATGGAATACTCCCTAACTCATTCGATGAAGCAACCATAACCCTGATACTCAAACCAGACAAAGACACTACAAGAAAAGAAAACTATAGGCCAATATCTCTTATGAATATAGATGCAAAAATCCTCAACAAAATACTAGTGAACAGAATCCAACAGCATATTAAAAGAGTCATACACCATGACCAAGTGGGATTTATTCCAGAAATGTAGGGATGGTTCAACATTAGAAAAGTCAATCAACATAATACATCATGTCAATAGAACAAAGGAAAAGAACCACATGATCATTTCTATGGATGCAGAAAAAGCATTTGATAAAATTCAACACTTTCTTGATGAAAACCCTAAAGAAGATTAGAATAGAATAGAAATTCCGCAATATAATTCAGGGCCTATATGAAAAGCCAACAGCCAGTGCTAAGTCCATTCGATGGGAAAAGAAGAGTCTAATAAACGGTGCCCGGAAAATTGGATTTCCACATACAGAAAAATGAAACAGGACCCATGCCTCATACCCTACACAAAAACAAACTCAAAATGAATTAAGGACCTAAATGTGCACACTAAAACCATAAAATTTTTAGTAGAACAAGAAGAGACAACACTGTTGGGCCTAGCTTTCAACAATGCATTATCTAATATAATAACAAAAGCACGAACAGAAAAGACAAAATAAATAAATGGAACCTCATAAAGATTAAAAACTTGTTCATCAAAAGACTTCATGAAAAAAGTGAACAGACAAGCTATTAACTGGGAGAAAATCTTTGACAAGAATCTAATTACCAAAATGTATATAAAACTTCAATAACTTAACAACAAAAATGGACAAAAGGACTTGAACAGACATTTCACTAAAGAGGACATTCAAATGGCCACCAAACACATGAAAAGATGCTCAGTGTTATTAGCCATCAGAGAGACATAAATCAAAACCACAATGAGATACCATTTCACTCCCACTACAAAGGCATGGGGGGGAGCAGAAGAGGGGGTACTTGCCCCTGGGCAAAAGTCCAAGGGGGTGTCAGATGAGACGCGGAATGGCATTCCAAAGCTCCACAAATATGAAAGGCGCCTGACTCAAGCAGCCAGACAAGATGCGGGAAGGCATTTCTACGGACTCGTTGCCGCTATCAGCATCTCTTCATCTTGAAATTGGGGGGTGGGGGGGAAGGTCGGCAACTTAGAGACTACCTCTGGGTGCTCGTTACTCTTGCTATGCCCCTGTCCCACTAGGATGGCTAAGATAAAAAAAATAGAAAATAACAAATGTTGGCAAGGATGTGGGGAAACTGGAATCCTTACCCATTGCTGGTGGAAATGCAAAATGTATAGACACTACGGAAAAGAGTGTGGCGGTTCCTCAAAAAATTAAAAACAGAACACCATATAACCCAGAAATTCCACTCCCAGGTATACACCCAAAAGACTTGAAAGCAGAGATTCAGACAGAGACTTGTACACCAACATTTACTGTAGCACTATTCACAATAGCCAAAAGGTGGAAACAACCTAAATGCCCATCAGCAGATGAACAGGTAAACAAAATGTGGTACCTACATACAATGGATACATACAATGGAGTATTACTAAAAGCCAGTAGAAGATACAAAGTCTTGATACATGCTACAGTATGGATACAGCTGGAAGACATTATGCTGAGTGAAATAAGCCAATCACAAAAGGACAAATATTGTATGACCTCACTTATATAAAAAGACAAGAAAAGGCATAATGTATAGAGACTAAAGTTTATTAGCGGTTACCAGGGACAGGAGGAGGGAGGGGGAAAAGGAAGGTTAAACTGATTAAGGGTAAAAGTTGCACAGCCTACTGCTGTAACTGCTGTCAACAAGTTGTACACCTGTAAAAGGTTGAATTGGCGAAAGTTGTATGATAGATATATTTACAACAACGACAAAAAAAAAGTAGCTGCTGAGGCTGTTTATGTACAAGCAAACACCGCACAGGATCTGGTTCCTTGATTTGGAGGTTTAGGGTCATAGTTTCATGGGACATCCCAGTTCACTGGCCTAATAACACATTTAGTGCCTCTGTCACCAGTTCATTGCGTAGTGCCTGGGGTCTTATAAGCTTGCAAATGGCCATCCAAGGCATAATCAGTCTCTATTCACCTGGAGTAAGAGAGGAAGGAGAGTTAGGAATAGGAGGAGGATATGGAATGTGTGGCTCTTATATGGAATTATATGTAATAACTGCCTCTGTGAACAACTGCTTCCTTTGCCATGAGACCAGAAGAAGTGGATGGTGCCTAGCTACCATTACTGAACACTGTGACCAAAGATTCCATAGAAGAATCCTGATCAAAGGGGAAAAATGCAGAACAGAATTTCAAATTCTGATGGACTCTAGGCCTCTGGAGCCATGGTAGATGGATGAACCCCTGAAACTACTGCCCTGAGATAATCTTTAAACCTTAAATCAAAAATATCCCCTGAAGTCACCTTAAAACAATAGTTTAGCTTAACTAATGAAAAAAAGTCTGCCTTGAGCATCATGCTTTTTTAAGAACTATCTATACAGGATCAAACTGACAACAGCAACTTGAAGGATTAGACAGGAACCTTAGGGGGCAATAAGCTTATGTTAATGAGGGAGAAACAACTCAGAAAAGGTGAGAACTGCTGTACAACTTGAAAAATGTAATCAATGTCACCAAATTGTACTTGTAGAAACTGTTGAATCAGTGTATGTTTTGCTGTTTATATTCTCAACAACAACAAAATAAATAAAATTTAGAGGGAAAAGAAAGCACCAAGGAGATCAGCAAGTACAAGAGAGGTGTTAAACCCACCCTGCCACCTGCCTGAGACCTTCTACT